GCCAATCTCAGTAATGCTCCAGTTTTTTGTGGTTTGGAGTAAATGTTGTTTCGTGTGGAGTCAGAGGGTTGATATCAGAGTCACTCTGGACTCTGACTCACTGATGTGCCAAACCTGACAACCACAAATGTGATGCATTCAAAATTTATGATGGTGAGATTTCATGAAAGCAAATGGTTGGATGGATTTAGGTGTCCAACATCAGCACAGTCAGCTGAACGTAGTGGGCGTCTGTCAACTGAAGTCACTGAAGTGTTTGTGGTGACTTTTGGAACATTTAATGCAATTATGACCTGCTGTGTGGTACACACCATTTAATTGTCATGGTTTTGTAGTTTCTGGACTGATGAGCAGATTCGGACAGCCGGGAAAAGTTTAAACAGTTTATTTAAAACTGAATAATTGATGGAAGCAGACTGATGGAACAGGTGCTCCTATGTAGGATGTATCAGAGGATTCACAGAGAGGGAGAGATGATATCAGCAAGAGCTGATAATAAAAGGTTGTCTGTATGTACAAGAGTCTTACTTATGTGTCCTTACTTGGAGTTAGATTAAGTTGATGAGAGAGAGGGGGCACAGGGGATCAGGCTGGAATCTGGAGATGATAGAGGTTGAGTGGAGACTGGGCAGGCAGGTGTGCTTCTGTGAGCTGAGAACTAGGAAGCAAACAGAGCAAAATAATTATTGAGGGGTAAGAACAACAGCTAGAGATTAACAACCATAGTGGAGAAAACGATCTGGCAGAGAGCGACTTACACAGCCGGTCCTTAAACACTCAGCTAATGAGGAGCTATGAGCTCCAGATGGATGAAAGCAACTTAAGGGTAGTTTCACCCACAGGGGGAGACATGAGCAATCTGCCCACCTCTAAACCTGACACAAGAGAGAGAATCTGATCACAAATAAGTTTGAAGTTGAGTTTTGTGTTTTATTGATCTGCTGGCACAGATAAGCAGATACCCGTGCACTTAATAAACACAACCTGCTGATAGTGTTAGTGTAGTAGTTTAACTACAGTGTCAGCTCATGAGTTAGCAGCCCAGCCTCCACACTGTAACTTTGTATTTTCTACTTAGTATTTTTATTTATTTTATTACTGTTTCCAGATAACATTTTCTTGTTTCATCCAGTTTATATTGTTTAGTCTTTATTGGTTTCAGTATTAATTTTAGTCTTTTTTATTATTATTGTATGGAGGTCATATGTCAGAGGCAGGATTTAGAAAATCAGTACAGACATTACAATACCAACACAGAACCTTCTGAAAGCAGCCGACTCACAGTGTTGTAGACATCCAGAAACTCAGTAAACATCAAAACCTCATCAGACACTGTAATTAGATTTTTACCGAGCTAACAGAACAAAACTAAGAATATTCCCTCTTTACCTTTTATTACAAGTTAGTTGGTTTTCCAAGTTCACAAACTCATTTCAGTTACTTTATGTTCTGACTCTGCATTTAATGGTCACAGGACAACAGACTCTGGACAGGTCACTGACCTGTCACATGGCTCTTTAACAGAGTGGAACGAAGCCAGAGTACAGAACACAAAACTCTGACTGGATCCTTGTTGTTGAGAGGGAACCATAATAATCACTGCACCATCCTGAACACAGTAAATCCTAAGATGCAGTTTTATTTTGTTAAAACCAATAAACTGTTTATTAATATCTGTATGCACCCTATTGTTTAAGTCACAAATGACAAGTAATGCAAAGCCAAGCTGACCTGAAAACATGGAGAAGGTTCAAACAAACGTTTCACTGCACATCAACACTGCAGTAAACCTGTGAGAGGCTCAGACGTCACCTGTGTGGGACTCAAGTAAATGTTAAAGTAAATGAATGTAAACACTGCATGAAAAGGATCTGGGTGGGGATCCTGATCCTTCTGTGCTGCACAGATGGTGAACGTAATAATAACTTTCACACACAAAGGTGCTGAGAGACACACAAAACTGCCCGAACAGGTACAAACAAAACCTGAGTAAACTGAGACTAACTACCTAACGAACCAAGTAAACAACTTCACCTGTATTTTACTGCATTCAGCACCTCTGTAACAGTTAGACACCAATAATCATGTTGCTACACTGATGTTTTTATTCTTGACTCTTTACTATATTTACAATTATTTGATTATCTGCAAAATACACAAAAAGTATTGAAAGTATTCATTCTGTCCTAAAATGAAGAATTACTGTAATATTTTAATAGTGATGTGAACATGTAGTGTTGTGATGGTAGCTCAGTGGTTCCTAACCTGTCATGGTCCTGTGTTTTTAGTTTGGGACTTTCTATATTTCATTTGTATTAAATATTGTTTGTGGATTCTTAGTTTGCTTTCATGTTCTATTTAGTATCTTCCATTTATTTATTTATTAATTTGCAAGTTAAGTTTCATCATTTATAGTATTTTTGCATTTTGAAGGTCAGTTAGTTTTTTGTGTACTTTCTGTTCTGGGCCAGTTTGCACGTATTGATTTCCTTCTTTCAGTTCTCTCGTGTTTCCTGTGTTGTTAATTCTCAGTTTCTATGTTAGATGGTCTTTTATTTTATCACTTCCTGTTTTATTCTGACAGCCTCCTGTTCTTACATTTAGTTTTGCATCCTCTGCCTCAGTTGTGTCACATATGATCCTGTCTTGGCCTTTCAGAGACTGCAGGTCATTGTCTTTCACATTGTGATCTGTGTTGGTTTTAGTGTTCCTTGTACAGCTACATTCAGTGAGGTTGGGTAAAATGATAAGGCCAGGCATTTGACATCATCCCAGGCCACTCTGTTCACAATGTAACAATGCAAAGAAGCTGTTCCTGTTTCAGCTCCTGTTTTAGTCTGACCTGATTTCTAACTGGCTCTTACCTCTTTTCAGTCCCTAACTCCCCATCTTTCTTACTTTATGTGATCAACCTGGTTCATCCTGTCTGCCTTGGCAAAGAGAGAGAGGGAGACACCAAAAGTGTGCAGTCAGAGTGGTCCATGAGCTGCTCGTTGATTGAGCTGACTGTCCATAACGACCCTTTGGCCTCGGGCAGGTACTCCTGATTAGTCAGTCCACTCCTGGTCCTGTGTTAACAGAGTAACAGGTCACATCCTACACCCCCAACAAAGAAACCAGTAATCACAGAAATTAGGTGAAGGTCTTAGCATTCATATTAGCTAAAAATATGCTAATCAAACTAAGACTGTAGACAGACACTGCCACATGTAGAGCATTTGTCAGTTATGTACTGACCCTTTTTCCTTCCCTATGAAATTTCAACTTGAAAAATGACATCAGAAAGTCCAGCTTCAAAATAAAACTGAGGACCACCTCCACACCAACAACTCAAGGGGTGTATGTGATATTTAGTTAGTGATGTTCACTAACTAACAAACACAGACCCAAAGTGTGGTTCTGCTGTGCTGGCAGATGATCAGACTGCTTCTTCGCTGCTTTGAACAAAAAAACACCAGAAGGAGCTACATCCCATCCACCATCAAACATCAACCACATCTTCACAGGTTTTTGACCCAGTGTTTTTCAGTTTGAGTTCAAATTTTTACTAAATATTCTCCAACCTTTAGTTTGGTTTTTATGTATTTTAGAGCTTTTGTTTTATTTCTTTTGTATGCTTATGTTTGTTATTTGTGGTTTTGAGTTCAGTTTTCATTTAAGGCAACTGGCAAGAGTGAAATATTTTCTTTCCAGGAAGCACCTTGAAACAGTGATTCATGCTTTTATTTCTTCCCATCTGGACTACTATGACTCACTTTATGTGGGGGTCAGTCAGTCGTTGCTGTCTGCAGCTGGTTCAAAATGCTGCTGCATGACTCCCAACATCCATCCATCCATTCGCTTCCGCTTATCCTTTTCAGGGTCGCGTGGAGTGCTGGAGCTGGTTGTTTTAAAGTGCCTTATGAATAAAGTGATGATGATGATGATCAGTTAATTTTGCTTTGTAGTTTCTGTTCTTGGTTATAGTTTGGTGTTCCCTTCTCCTGCCTCCTGTTCTCTGTTTCCATGTTAGGAGTCCTGTTGTTTTGCTTCCTGTTTTATTTTGGGAACTTCCTGTTCTTTGTATCTGCCTCATTTGTACCATCTGTTCATAATGTCTTTACCAAATACCTTGGAATTTTATATTTCTTCTAAAAAGATAAATCCATCCATTCTTTTTCACTTATCCAAATCAGGGTCACTGGAGCCTATCACAGCTGCGAGAGGCAGGGTACACACTGAACAGGTCACCTAACACAGAGAGACAGACAACCATTTGCACTCACACTCATCGACAATTTAGACTCCAATTAACCTAACCCCACCAACTGCATGTCTCCACACAGAAAGGCTAGATGGTAGAGTTGTTTGAATTCAGCTCTCTGTAGATATATAAATTTAATTTCCATTCAACTATGTAGCATCCTTTTGTTGGTAACATATTACCCAGTTCCTATCAGTGTAGATATCCAGCACGATTTGTTTCCCATTAAGATCTGATGTGCCTTTACATTTTTAAGCTGTATATTTACTACAACTGAAAACCACGGTGACTGGCTTGGCGACTGACGAATGAATCAAATCAGAAAACTTAGAATTCATCTTGTCACATCATCAGTAAACAATGACCCAGTTTTCACAAAGCCATACAATAATACTGCCTCCACTTTGACAGATGATGGGCTTTAAATAATAAGTCATGTCTCTCCTTCTTTATACTTTTCTCTTCCCATTATTCAGATAAAAGTTCAACTTGGTTTCTTCTGATACTTTTTCTGATCTCTGCAGGATCTTTTTTAGGTGTTTTCAGCAAAGTCTAACCTGCCCCTCTCCTTGAGTCTTCCCAAGGTGGTTACACACACACACACACACACACACACACACACACACACACACACGACATTTTACTCCAAGATCCTTGAACAGTGTGACAACAAATAATGTATTGGGACATGAAGAATTAAAAGCATGAACATGATTTTCATTATCAAAGATCAATAACATTCAATGGAGTGTGTGTATCCTGATTCACATTTATTTACAGCAGACCAGCTCAGGGTTATAGTTAATGTACATTTAGGGTTAGAAAACAAAAGAAAAACGTTTTCCTTGTTTGGAGCATTCTACAGTTGTTATTTGCTGTTATCAGACAAATTTCTTTTTAAATATTATTTAGATATTTACTGAAATATGAGCACAGCTGGAAACACAAATCCATCCAGAGTATTGATTGTGTGTCCAAATCAAACATGCGGCGCTACCCGCTGTGGCAACGGTGCAGCTAAAAGTAGTTTTCTTTATTAGTAACATGTTATGTACCAAGAGCAGGTGGAGCCATTTCTCTGCTCAGTCCTATTAAACTGCTGCAGAAGAGGAAAAAAACAGGAGGAGGACCTCTGATCTCTTATGGAATAAATACAACAGTTTTTATTTCATGAAGAAAGCATTGATGCACTGCATCTGTTTTCATTCAAATAGAAAAAAAAAAAATCACCAAATGCCCTGTTTCAATGTTGAAAAGATGCCATTAGACAGGCAGCTAGTTGTAAGACTACACACCTCTGGATACCGGGTGGGTATCCAGTCAGGGCCCTGGCATCCCCCATGCTAAAAACCAGCCCTGGAATGGCGCAGCTACGTCTGCAGTTCAGGACACAAGCATTTCACTATATGTTGTACTGTGAATGTGACAAAATTTGTTTTTGAACGGGGTTTGTGTATCAAGTATTGAGCACTATGAGTCATTTATACTTTTATTTTTATATAAAAATATGGGGTGATTAGGATGAAAGTATAACAAAAATGGCTACATCCCTCCATCCTGACTTTTAACCATGTGCTAAACCACAGGATTAAAATCTGTTCTGAACTTTTAAACTGCTGAAAATACCAAAAATAATCCAACATGTCGTCACTGTTCTGCTCAAAAGCTTAACTTGGTTCTCATAAAACAAACACATAAGCTACACACACACTGTACTTCACACTTTGGGTTCACTTTGATCAGTGTTGATTCTCTGTTTCTCGAAGGGGGGATTCTGTTTCTTCTTGTCTTTCTGCAGATTGGAAAACAAAACTGTGTTAAAAAGTCATAACTGAGCAGAAATGTAGTGCTGTGAATCTAAGTAGTGGCGTGCACGATGACACATGAGTAAGTTTGAATTATACTCGTTGCCGATATGGCAACATAACTACAGCGGGAAAATTGACCCAATTTTATTATGATTACATGACAAGATGCTAAACTGTCTTTATGAATAAATCGTGATGTTTGCTGTTTAACCATCTTCATCAGCCTCTACAGTGTGTTCCTCCTCTTTCCTCACAATAAGCTTTAGTTCATTTCAGTTTGTTTCATTAATATATTCAAAAAAATGTGAAAAAGTGAAATAAACAAGATTATAAAAATGACAGTCACACAAAAATATGAGAATGTTCATAAATACATTAAACTTACTTTTTTTATTCTTGAAGTAACACCAGACAAGAATCCCAACTACTACAACCGCAAGAACAACAGCAAGACCAGCAACAGCTACAATCAATCCAGTGTTTGGTTCTGGAACAGAAGAGAAAACATTGGTGTAACTCAGACTGTGACTGCATGTCAGGAACAAACAGCAGGTTTAAACAGCGAGCTCAGTGATGTCAGCATGGATATAACTTCCTGTTTCCTCCTGCTCGTCTCCACAGCTCACAGGCTGGCTCTGGTTCTGCTCTCAGCTGTAAAGATGATGTTGGAGTTTTGTTTTGTATGAAAGATGTTTGAATCTGTGCTGCTGCTCACAGACTCCTGCTTTCTTTTTACTGAGCCTCACATCTGACAACATGTGTGAGTCTGTGTGTAATCGAGGTTTCCTCCACCCTGAGCTTCTTAGCTACACACATCATTAAAGTGAATCTCTTCAGACTGATGATTGCAGAAAACAAGAAATACGAATCTGTCAGTGAAATGACCGCCTGCTGCACTGCCAACAAATGACTCTCTGCACTGGAGGATTTTGGACTGTTAGGATTGATTTTTTTATGCAAAACCGTTTTCTCGTTTTTATGTTACATTTAATCATCTGGCATGAATATTACATTCAGAAATACTGAGCATTAAGATGATTTCTACTAGTTTATTATTTTTTTTAATGATACGAATGCATACAGTATGAATACATGTGGATTGTCATGCATGCCCCTGCAAGGGCGACTGTAGATACATAATTATGCATTTAATTGCTATGAAAAAGTATTCACCCCTTTCTGATTTCCATGTTTACTTTAACCATATTTTTTAAAGCTCAGTTCCTTTTCACTAAAAACACTTAGGCCTGATTAGATCATTGCCAGACCTGCTGAATCAAGAAATCACCTACACAGAACCCATCTGAAAAAGTGGGCTAAAAGTTCTCAAAAACCACCACGTCATGCTATGATCTACAGAAACCACTGAAAAACAAAGTCACTGTCACCTATTAGTCTGGAAAGGTTACAAAACCATGGATAAGGCTTTGTGACTCCAGCGAACCACAGTGGTGATGGCGGCCGACCAAATTACTTTTAGATGCTATTAGAGCATCGATGACTCATCCAGGAGGTCACAGAAGAACCCAGAACAAATTCTTCAGAATTTAAGGCCTCACTTGCTGTAGTTATTCAACAATAAGAATGAGACTGGGGGAAAAATGAATCCATGGGAGAGTTCCAAGCAGAAAACAACTATTGAGCGAAAAGAACACAAAGCCTTTTGTCACATTTGCCAAAAAATATCTTTACTTGCAATTCAATGGACTCATCCAAATTATCCTTCACTCACCACATGTATACAAAAGAGCTCAATTACTCTGTGACCTCAGTGAAAACTTGTTCATCTTTACTATAAAGTATATGATTGGGATTCCTATTCCATTGTTGGCTCTATTGTTTAATGCATTAACATTAGTTTAGAAAGTCTTCTCAGACTTCCCTCTCTTATATACATTTTTAATATTTGCTGCTGTGTTTGTATCATTAAGTTTTCTGTGGGTTGCAGCAATGGTTTGGCACTTCATATGATTGGCTGGATTTAGGGACCACAACAGACGTTATTAAAATAGTTTGATGATTTGCTATCAGGAAACTCCCGGAATATAGGAAAATGACTCCTTAATGAGACAGAGCTCAGAAGTGTAATGGGTGTCATCTCACCTTTTAGCATCTGCCCTCAAACATTTGCTACAGCACATAAAAAATAAGGAATATAATCACTCTGTGCATCATGTAACACTGATAACTGCTCATAATGATACCTGTAAGAGGTCTTGTATACAAACAAAAAAAAACCTCATTTATGAGTTGAATTCAGACTAAAGTTACTTTTTGCTTCAGCTCCAGTGAATCTGTCTGCTGGAGTGTTTTATCACACACTTCTACTTTTTTCACCTGAGAAACATTTTCCAGACATCTGTCTTTATGATTTCATTAGTTAATATTTAGCTTCTTTGCAGACATCATTCTGTGTATTCAGTCTGAGCACATTTCACATTTTTGAAAAACAACAATTACTTAAAACATTTTAAGATTAAAATTTCACTCACCATTCAAACGCACATTGATTTCCGTATGTGCCTGATGCCAGATTTCCTTCTGTGTGGCGACACAGTGATAGCGGTCGGTCTTTGTCACATTAGTTTTGAGGGTGACGTAAAAGCGCTCTCCTTTTTTAGAGACCTGTGGCTCCTCTGAAGGAATGGTTTGATTGTTACTGTCCCACCACTCGACTGTAGGTTTGGGGGAAGCACCTTTAACAACACACTTAAGGAGCGCCCAGTCATTTGTTTGATCAAGATTTGTGACAGAAGGCTCTGCAGCTCCTGTGAACACACAATAGTAATGTTGTATAATTATTATTTTTTCATGTTTAGCTACTCTGAGTGCCAATGTGAGGGTACTAACTCAATACTGCCTTACTGGACAGTATTGATGTTTTAAAAAGGAATTTAATTTCAAAGTTTTTACTCTAACCAACATTTTAGACTCACATGCAGACATTTATATGGAAAAAAGGTTTGGATATCTCTAAGTTTGTTTAGAGTTATACAGAAAAAGATAGGAAAGTGCCAGCAAAATGGCAAACATATCATCAAAAATCTGGCACTGTAACCTGGATAACTACTTAAGGAGGATTTCAGTGTTATTTATTATTGCTATAAATATGAATATAAATAACTACTTGAACAATTGTAGATGTTACAGAAAATAAAGCAAAACCCCCCTGCAATCTCCAAAACAATTCCACTAGTCTTAGAAAACTTATTACTAGAAGTTGCTGTAAATTTTAATTACATTGAGAGGGATAAGATACTTTTTGAGCATATGTATCTTAAAAGGTAGTTTTCTACTTGGATTAATAACTCAATGCAGACGATTAGGAGTGAGTAATGAGTTCACATATACACACGAGGATGCGAATATCAGTGACGTCAAAGGCAGGACTCACCTGAGATGCTTCGGACCTTTAACTTTTTAAAACGCAGAGGTTGTATGCGACCCAAGTTTGCATGGTAATATTAATAGATAAACATAATGTATATTTTCATGATGACCGGAAACATAGACACGGGCATGTTATACGTCGTTTCAAAGTTCAGATGTTTATCTTTCAGTAGATTCATGAACCTCAGTAAAGAATTTACGACATAAAAACAGCAACGTCTTAATTTACGGCAGTAAATACTTCGTGACCCTACTTCTACCCATTACAATCAATGTTAAAAAGCCGTTTATTGGACCAAAAACGGCTTTTTAAAAACAAACAATTGCTTGTTTAAAGGGAAACCCCCCCACGGATTAACTTCAGTTCGTTTGTGTTCAAGCGGGAGTAAAAAGAACCTGAAAAACAGTAAATTTGTTTTGTCGGAAAGTTTTATCGGAGCTACGCAAACTAATATAAATGCGGTTTTAAAGCCAATTTTAAGCGATTGTTAGATTATTTCACCAATCAAGTTTGGTATCGCTGAAATCCTTAAACGCCCACGAACATCAATAATCTATCAGCATCTTCCGCCAACGTGAAGCGACGCGCCATGGAGACCGTTAATCCAATCAGCCAATCAGAAAAACGAATCTTATACCAATCGCACGGCAGTTTGATTGACAGCTGCTGTTATCCAATAGAAAGTTAAGGCAATGAAACCACTCTCCCTTTGAAGCCGGGAAAATCACCTGTCGACCATATATGGAAGTTTACGTAGTTAGCCTTGCTGTTTCAATGGAACGAAACGAAATCATAGAAAACTATTTTATCTTTGGAAAAATACCCGATTAGAAAATAAAGAACAAAACAAAATCATGATTTTAGTTATTTAGGAGATGGTTTTGTGGTTAAGTTTAGTATTTAAGAACATTTAAAGTGCAAAAAACAAAATGAATCATTATTATTTGTTAACTTTGAAGAGATTTTTTTGGGCGTTTTGAGGCAATTGATTAGAGATGCTCGGCTTTGCGCTTTGAACTAAACTGTAATATCTTAAAGCCATCTCTGTATATCAGCATGAAACTTGGTGCATTTATCGGAGACAGAATGAAGAGGATATCCTGTAAATTTCAGCCTCCTAGCCCTTATAATGACTAATTAATTCTAGTTAACATCTTAAGTAAAAGGTTAAAAACATCAAGGCTTCAGTCATTTCCTGTATAATCCTCTAACAAATGATCTGTGTTAGAGCTAAAGGTAAAACTGACAGACTACAATAATTATCACAGATTTTAGTTCACAGTGATAAAACAGGCAGGTATCAGATATTTATGATTTGGAAATTTTTCTTAAGTTTATTCTGGTAGTTACAGATATGCAGAAGTGCACATGCCTGTGAGAGGCTCTAACAAGTTAATATGGGCTCTGAAAGGAGAAAAAAGCACAAATATTAGAGGTGACTGTGTTATTATCAAGTTGGCAGTCAGATAAAACTGGAGAAAAGAAACTCAGAAGTGTTAATCTGCTATATTAGCCATATTTTATAATCCTAAACTAAAAAAAGAAGAAAGAACAGTCACATATTTCATAATTGTCCTTATACATTTACACAAGAGACTGATTTATGGTGGTGGATGTATTATAATGACACAGTCAGAAAACACCCTGAACAGCTGTGTGTCTGATATATCAGGAGAAGTGAGAATTTGTTTATTCAGTGTTTACAGTTGCATTGACAGAGATTTATTCTGTTTAGTAAAGACTGAAAAAACCTGTGAGCACCTCAGATCTTTGACAAGCAGATTTACCAAATATTGATAATATTTCTGCAGGTGTGCTATGGGGGTGAGACCCTGCCAGATGTGTGTACTGACTGTTTCATCTGCAAGTAATCAGCTGATTTATAACAGCACTCACCAACAGCAAGCTCAATGTGGAATCTTATATCACCGGACTGACTTTTTGGAAAAATACAAATATAGTTTCCTTTGTCCTCTAGCCTAGTGTCTGTTATTTTTATGGAGGCGTTGCCATTCTTCAGCTCTTCTGTAAAATGTGAGACTCGACCTTTGAACTCCGCAGACTGATCTTCAAGGTCATTATTATGATGTGTGCCATTATTGTACGTGAACACCTGCTTTCCGTCTTTCTTCCAGTCAAACACCATTGACTCAATGGTCTCACTGGTGCCGAGGGAACAGGGTAAAATAGCATCAGCATCTTCTTTCACAGTCACTCTGGCCACAGGTGTCCCTGAAATACAGAACATGAATTAAACAGTGTGTTTTCATACAGATTGATGAGGACAGAAGGAAAAAAAATTGTAAAATGGCCTGCATTTGTATAGCGCTTTACTTAGTCCCTAAAGACCCCAAAGCGCTTTACACGTCCAGTCATCCACCCATTCACACACACATTCACACACTGGTGATGGCAGCTACATTGTAGCCACAGCCACCCTGGGGC